GAGGGCGGAAGTGTTTCAGAATTGAATCAAAACACGTCAGCGTGTTATTTTTAGCTTATAAAGTTTGTGAACTTTCTCACAACCGGAAGCGGGCTTATTGTTGTACTTGGTTTTACCCGTGTACCACACATAGCATGGAGTGTTGATAGCTTTTTGTGCATGCGAATAGGAAAAACATAAGAAATTCGCGCTCTTCGTTTTTTGTAGATGGTAATGATTTTTGTGTGAACTTACCCTTCAGACTCTTCTTATTTCGAATAGTCGTCAAGCATGATGTTGCATAAACTCCTATTCACATCTTAGCTCTCACACACGAGGTTTAACGTACAGGCTGGCCAAAGAACCGTGATGCAATACATAATAAGCCACTGTTCAATGGCACCCCTTTGATGAACTGATGTCTAAGACGGGGAAGTGGAGTAGATGTTTGTGTGTATATCTCCAGTTCCTGCAAACCGGCTGTTCTCGTTTTTTGATCCCTAAAAAGCTGTTTGTTTCATCCACAAGTTGCATACTTTCATTTTCATTCTCAAGTAACTCAGTGCCGTTTGGTACTTTTAGTTCAAGTCAGGTCCCCGAATTTGGCTCCTGTTTGGTTTTGGAACAGTTATATCCTGCTGACCATCATTCTGAAACAGTGTTCTGAGAGCTTTTTGTGCCAGTTTTAATCTGGGGTCCCGTTGTGCCTATCACTCCCTCACAATAAGAAGTTCTCTGTACGCCAATGACAGAAAACCTCACTATCATCCTAAACGAATGGCGATTCTGTTACAACCGCTTTTTGTTGTGCACTGTCAATACAAAACAGACGAACTGTAATTCACGTACTGGTTAATCCACTGTCTCGAGTGGCCCTAAACGAATGGCGATTTTGTTACAACCGTTTTTTATTGTGCACTTTCAGACGAACTGTAATTCACGCACTGGTCAATCCACTGTCTCGAGTGGTGCATCACTAGCAGGTGGTCGGTTCATGTCGAGCTCAATTTATCGCAAACACTTTGGTTCTGACCGACGAAACTTGTGTTAATTCGCGAGAAAGACTTCTGTCAAACGAAGCAGAACAGGATCTTATGACTCAGCTATGCCTTAGTATACGAACTCCCTGAGTGGCAATTTCCATAAAGGATAGACATGAATTTTTCGCTTGATGGTAAGTTCTAGAAATAAGCGTGATTTTATTTTAGATCATGTCTTTTTCAGAATACTAGTCAACAATCGAGGGAAGTAGCCCGGAGGAAACTTGTCTCTTACGAACAAATCGCTTCAGGTGTCGTATCTTCTTTGTCACCAGATTCACTCCATTCAACACTCAGTAGTCTTAACAATTCGCGTAACTTTTTAACTACTCATGTAAATAAGAGTAGCATCTATCACTCCAGCATTCCAAATGAGCAAGTCGAGTCTGGTGCCTGCATCTTACCAGTGAATGCGGTAAAAATATAGACAATTGTATGGACTACTTGACTGATTAGACTTTCCATGAAGTAATCTATGGAACGAATTACATTTCAAAGGTTGTTTCTCTTCGTCACTTCAAAACCTCACGGAATCAGTGGAATGTTGTAGTAAGTGCTGTAGTAACTCATGCAATTGAGTAAAACTGCCTCAGCTGAAATCCATGTCAAAGTTCAGGCAAAGTTCGCGCCTTGTATCTGAACAGTTCAGCTACAGTTTATTGTAAAATCTGAACCCCAATCAAACTATGCTTGCGAGCATCGGGAGAGAACCAGGGACACTACACATCAACTAAATCATAAGCTTAAGCGTTGTCCCGTGCTACGAAACACACAAATGAGGATGCTGTACTGGTCACAGTTTAAACTTCTTTTTCCGTTTCATCGGCAGTATTCATCTAGAGTATTTGTACCCAGTAAACATGACTTTTACTTTGATCACTATTCCTATTTGATTTGACACAGTGGTATGTCAGAAACCGTTCGCACGCGGCGTTGCTAGATCCCATACGTCTGAGAATTAGAGAGCGCGCAAAGGCCGTTAACTCGGGCCCTTGGTGTTGCGAAAACATCTTTGCTTTGCAGTATGCGTTTAGCTGGATCCGGTTGCGTCCTTCGTGCTCATCCGTGTCTCATTTTGTTGATATAGTATGGTAAGGATTGGGCTTGATAAAAGCTTTGTAGTTGTCAAGCCAACAAAATACTGCCAAGTTTGTGGTACAAGGACAACAATTTCTGTACTAAAAACGACATTCAACCAATGTCCGCGTTTAACATGACACGGGAATGCATTTGGCTGAAGATGTAAATGTCCAAACACCATAGTGAACTATGAGCTGCTTGCTGTGATTCCACTGTGTAAGTAGCTGAAAATCACTGAAGTGCCGAAGCAGATTTCATCTTTTGGACGCATTTGGCTGAAGATGTAAATGTCCAAACTCCATCGTGAACTATGAGCTGTTTGCTGTGATTCCACTCCGTAAGTAGCTGAAAATCACTGAAATGCCGAAGCAGATTTCACCTTTTGGATTCGGGAGGCTTACAGGTTTTCGGTAACTTATAGTTTGATGTCCATAATCATAATGCCATAGCGAAGAAGCAAACGAAACTTTTCACAATTTTCACATCGTAATTCTGCACGCTTGCAACCCTAACTTCAATCACAGTGATGAG